GGGCTATTGCCCGCGATATACTGTGAGCGCCGCAGCCGGGAAGGATCCCGACATTACTGTCGAGATCTACCCAGCTGCGTGAGTGACAGCTGGCTCTGCCTATCTAGAGGCAGAGCAAGCTGTGCCCGCCCCCTACCCTGTTCGTTCCTCCACTCAGCGCTGGAGGATCGGAGAGGGGAGGGGGGGAATCCCTGCGGGGATAGGTGACTGACAGTCACCGTTCACTGCAGGGAGACGATCGAGAAGTGAGCAGATCGGTGCATGCTTCTGCTCACTTCCCGATCAATAGAGCCGACCTGGGACAGCTTCTTTGTCAAAGATCGGCTCTAGCTATGAGGATGAGTGGAAATCACTCACCTCATGGATCTCCTTTAATTAATTCTGTGGAAGTGTCCTCTCCTGCTAATTTTGATCATCACCATGCCAGTCATCCCATAAACAGGCATCAGGGAGGCAGGTCTGACATAAGAAAGCAAAGCCCTGCCTCTACCAAGATGGCTACCCAACACAAAGACACAGTGAAGAACAAGGCATGGAAAAATCAGTATTGGGGAAAAGATTAGGTGTAGGGAGACCACAGGAAAACTGGCAACTAGTTCTTTGCCCTTTGTTTGCCTATTGTTTTGTATTGTTTTGCAGATCTTCTAAAGGGTAACTTGTTAGGAGAATAAATGCATAGTTCTTCTTATGATATCCTGTTGTAATATTTCTGTGCTAAGCATTTGGAAACAGTCAGAAAAGAGGACACATGTTGGTGCTTCAAATACTATACTCAGCATTAAAAAAATTACAGCATGGCTTAGTGCCCACATTAAACCACCTACTTACATACTGTTGGGAGATGCGATGAGTGACCCCAAGATGCAAAAACCATTTCAAGCCATTTCATTTGTTAAAAAAGGCTATACCCCATGTGGGGGTGGTCGAAAAACTGAATAAAGTTTGTTTGAAAAAAAACAAACCACCTACTTACACCATAATGTAAAATTGTATGTGATATGTTGCAGTGCCACCTTGTGTTCACCAGCGTTTGCACCATGGATGCAAGGGAATGGAAACACCAGTATACATTCCAGATCCTGCTGCGCACACCTCTTTCTTCCTAATGTCCTGTACCTCTACTCTTCTTTTTTTTTCTGTCACTCCTATCTCTTGATTGAACTGCCAAAACAGAACACGGTTCACATCTATAAACATTTCAACTGCACATATCCACTGATTTCCGAATCATGGTAGGTTGACAGCACCCACATAAAATGCTAAAGAGAAGTGCTAACCCCCGTATATTGTCTTATGAAAGCTTGCCAACATCTGATGATGGAGCCCCTGCTGCTATCTTACTGAGGGTTTGTCAGTGCCTTTCCTTAAGTTATAAAAATGACTTCTGTATTTACACGTTGTAGGACATGGTATAGGTAGAAATGGGGTGGGGTTAGGACCAAATACCTGTAGGGTTTGGTACAAGAGTTAATTATATTCATGTTTACTACTGGCCTGTCTCATTGAAAACAATACACGCTTTAAAAACACACATATCGTAGCCAGAAGTCATGTGATCTAGGTTTTAGGTAATCATAGCTCTTAATTGTCCCTCGTTCTTGATGGATAGTCTTTTAAGGACCTAAATCCCACCATCCCTCTTTCCTTCACAAATAGTCTTCATTTGGGTCTGGTTTATAAGTCTGACTCTGTACCTATATGAGCCCTTTACCAAAGTGTTTATATTACCCTGTTTCCATAGGTCAGGAATATGACTGGAAATGTAGCAAGGGTATGACGTTTTGGTGATAAGCGTTTTCCCCCTTTTCCAACGTATGAACTTAGAATTATGTAAATGATGTGGGAACAGTCCTTATACCTGTTACAAGGGAAGCACCGATACAATTTTTCGAGACCGAGTACGAGTACCGATACTTTTCCTCAATTACGCACAGATACCAATTACAGATACTTTTTTTAGTGTCATGTGACAGTTTTTCTAAAACAATACAGACTAATGATTTTAGGACAGTGGTGAAGTGCCAGGGCCCGGTCCCAGCTTCAAATGCTGCACCCCTGGTAGTTCTGCCACTAACTCCAAGCTGTAGAGGGACTACAAACAATACATTATACAGCAATGCAGAATATCACCAGATATAGAGGACTACAAATCCCAGCAATACATTATACAGCAATGCCAAATGGCAACCAGCTATAGAGGCCTACAAATCCCAGCAATGCATTATACATCAATGCAGAATAATATGAAGCTACATGCTGCTCCAGGGAGCCGGCCTGACATCTCCAGCAGAGGATCTCAGGAGGGTTCTGTCGGGTCTCAGGTGGCTGTGCGGGGTCTTAGGAGGGCTGTGCTGGGTCTCAGGGGGGCTGTGCAGGGTCTTAGTAGGACTGTGCAGGGTCTCAGGTGGCTGTGTGGGGTCTCAGGTGGGCCGTGCGGGGTCTCAGGTGGCTGTGTGGGGTGTCAGTTGGGTTGTGCAGGGTCTAAGGTGGCTGTGCTATGTCTTAGGAGGCTGTGAGGGGTCCCAGGTGGCTGTGCGGGATCTTAGAAGGCTGTATGGGGTCTCAGGAGACTGTGCAGGCTGTGAACAAAATTGTAACGTGTGTGATGAGATTTAGAGGGGAACTCCACTCACATTGCAGATGTTGTGATTGTGTTTTTAGGACAGGAAGTAAGCAAAAATCTCTCTAACATGAACTTAAAAACATGACAAGGGCATACCCTATCCAAAGCTAAGATGTCTTACGTAACTGGTATTCAGCCTTCTGCTATAAGCCCATGATCGTTTCAGCAACCATAAACTTATAATAGAAGGCTTCCCCTGACTCTCCTCTGTAAATGAATAGCTGTCATTAGTGGCTGACAAGCTATTCATTCAAAATGGGCCCCCATGCTGCTGCTGCTCTGCAGCTCTCTCCTTCCCACTGGGAGCCAGCTGCGTGCTGTGGTCTGGGTCCCCTCCCATCCCCGCTGCTCTCCCCCGCCTATATCGGCAGAGGCAGCGGGGATCGGAGGGGACACAGAGCCAATCCAGCTGCCAGCACCCAGCGGGGAGGAGAGACCTTTCCAGAGGCTGAGCGGGGCGGTGCATGGAGCTCTGCTCCAGTGACAGTCGGAAGGGGGCAGAGCAGCTTAGGATGGAGATCAGAGGATTGGTAAATAAGTATTTACCGATCCCTCCCTGTGCAGAACAAACACCGAGTGAGCAGTACTGATCATTCAGTGTTTGTAAATAAAGGTGATCATACACTGTGCGAATTTCGGACAGTTCTTGAGGAACCGGCCGAAATTCTCACAGTGGGTGCCGCTGTCGGCAGCTTTTAGGCCGGCATCCCTTGATCAGCCAATGAGCTGCCGGCTTTGTTCGGGTATTCTGACAGCGGCTGGTAGCCGCTGTCCGAATACAAAGGCAACAGCGGGGATTCCTTCATCAACACGCTCATAGCGTTGATGGAGGAGCCTGTTCTATTTTTTACGTTTAGCCCGTGTATGGCCAGCTCAACTGAACACATAGTAAGTGATTATAATGTCCCCAGTTATGAATAAACAGGAAGTGCTATACATCACTTCCTATTTATTCATGAATGGGGACATAGTATGAATGAACAGGAGAACTCAGTACAGTAGCTTCCTGTCCATTCATAACTGAGGAGAGTACTATCCCTACTGTTTGTGAATGAACAGGAAGCCTCTGTATTGAGTGCTTCTGTTCATTCAGTACAGGGGCTGCAGAAAGAGAGATTGATGACTCTGTGTCCTCAATCTCTTTTACTATTTCAAAAGGGAAATATCAGGGTCTGTTTAGACCCCTAATATTTTCAGAAGCCCCTAACAATAAAGTAAAAAAAATAAATTAAATAATTTAATTTTTTTTTTAAATAGTAAAAAGGTTACAAAAAAGAAATAAAGCCCCCCCTCCCCCCCCACACACACCCATAACATAACGCACACCATATTGTGGTGTATGCCAACCGCTGTGGTGTGTTGTTAGAACACATTGCAGTGCTTGATTCTTTCACTATTTAACACAACACGAATGTAACTGTGTGGCAGCGCATGGCAAAGCGTTGTGACACATTGCTGTGCATTGTAGTATGCTGTGTTACGATTACATTTTCGCCTGCATCAGTTTATCGCAACACACACCAACACAGCGCACAAACGCCACTGCAGATCAGGCGTTACAACAACACAGATTGTTAGCATAAGTTGCTTATTAACAATTCTGCGTTCCTTCGTTTTTTACCATTTGGCAAAAGGCGCAATTTTAAATTAAGTCAGTAGTTTTATTTTTTAGATTTTTTAGAAATCTTGTAGATTATGCGGAGGGGGGGGGGGATTGTGTGCGCTGATGATTGTAGTGTAATTTTTGTGAAAATATTGATTTGATAACAATTTGCGCAACTGTTTCGGGACTGTAGCAGGACCTGCAAAATGAGTAGCACCATCTGTTTATTCTATTGGTCCTGTGCTTTCAGGAAATGTATGGTTTGGGGGGGTCTTTTACAAACTCAAAAAGCTGCAGTTACAAATTTAAAAAAGGTGAAAATTGCAAAAATAGTCTGGCCAGCTGAGGTCAAATGTGTTAGGCAGGGCTTGGCAGCGAAAGGGTTAACACGGGAATTCCCCTTAAATTGGGAAATTTCCCCGAACTACCTGTTTTCCCTCTTTAGGACAGGAAGTGAAGAGACCTTTCCCCAATGATACTCATACAGCAAAACTTTGACTAGCAAGGGTTTTTACTCTCCTCTATCCAAAAGAAAATAAAATGTTTTGTCTGCATACACTTTAAACAAAGCTGCTAGAAGCCCTGCAAATGCGTTCTAAACACCGTGTTCTGCAAACTACATATAACAAGGCCAAATACTGCGCAGTGTAATGATACCTGCAGGTTACAACACAACACAGCACACAAGCACAAGACCTTCCTCCTAACCATTTACACTGTATTCCGCTCTCGCCTTTCACGCATGCGCGGTGAGAGAACCGTGTACTGCGCATGCTCAGCGGGAGCTAATGTTCTGCGCAGGCTCAGTGCGGCGGGCCCGGCTCTGGTGGACGGCAAGATGATTATGGCGCTAAGTAAAACGTTTGGTCAGAAGCCGGTGAAATTTCAACTGGAGGAAGATGGGGAGTTCTACATGATAGGTTCAGAGGTATGTGCCGAGGAAAGCGGGGTTTGTGGCAGCATAGGTACTGGCAGGCTTTCCGTATGTAGCGAGGCCTGAGACAAAGAGACTGAGGGCGGACAATGATATGAGAGGGGGGAGGATAGGGATGATCAGACCCAACACTTTTATTATCAACAGAATGGTGGAGTAGAAGTTTTCCCAGTTACAGGAAATGGGAATGAATGAGTACCAGCAGTGTTCATATCCATTAGTTGAGGCCCACTTCCTCTCTGCCTGTGTATATTTGTATACATAGAGTTGTGTTTGTACACACACAACTGGAAGGAAGGGGTCAATGCTTTGATAACACAGCACATTGGAACAATTGTTTACTTGTTACTTACTCGTAACTGGCCATACGTTACACAATCTGATTGTACAATCTCTCACAGTGTCCTAGGCCCACCACACATGTTACAATCTGACTGTATAACCACCTTTAGATCTACCCACAAGTATTTAGTGCAAGGGCTTGCACTAAATTACATAGGTTTGGTACGTATAAAGTTGGTTGTATGGTCAGATTGTAACATGTATGGTGACCCTAAGGCTCACCTTACACGTTACAGTCTTGTTGTACAATCCACTTTAGAGTTACCAAAACTTTTTAACATGAGGACCAACCTAAACAACAGATTCAGTTAGTATCAGACCAGATAGACTCTTCCACTACATAGGTGATGGTCGATCTAAAGGAAATTGTGCAAGGAGATTGTATAGTGTATGGTCAGCCTACCATTTCCAGAAAAAGTATTCGTCTTATCTCTTTCATATTAATAACATTGCGTACGAGTCCCATTTTTATTGTCACAGCTGGGGAAATAGCAGATGGCAGCCATATTTCAATGCGAAATGCAATTGATTTGTGGATGTGCATATAGATTTGTGCCTGTTTCCGCTGATCATATGAATCGTACAGCCTTCCATGAGGGGAGTTTATCAAAATCTGGAGCAGATGTGCATGGCAACCAATCAGCTTCTATCTTTCATTTTCAGATCTAATCTGAACAAACTGAAGAGAGATGCTGATTGGTTGCCATGGGCAACTGCTCCAGATTCTGTCTGCTCCAGTTTTGATAAATTCCCCTCCATGTGCCTATGTGAGCACGTTGGTAAATCCCGGTATATGTGTCAACATATTTGATTCACTCAGTCTGCTTTTATCCAGTACAGCCTACACCTTCTTACATCAAAATCTCCATCCCTTCTCTTCCAATCCCAAACCACGAAGTTCCCTTTTCACGTTTTACAATCAGCTGTGCTCACCGTGTCTGTGCAAAATGTCCTATAGGCCTGAAAACACTCTTCTTGAATGAGAGAAATCCATCCATTCCCCATACACAATAAACAGCATGGATAAGGGAACCCCACAGCTGGTTCTTGTACTCTGCAGCCACTGTTCCACTGAATACCCAACCTAGCCTAATGGGATGTTGCCACAGTTTGGCTGAGAATTTTCATATTGGCTCCTTCAACAAAAGTAGATTGAAAAATGGACTGTTGTGGAACGGGATGGGGGTTGTGAAGGGGTGCCGATAGGGGCGAGTTTTGGTCAAAACAGCAGGAACCTACATATCTAGGATCGGGCCATTTTACGGCTGTGCATGACGTACAAACGTGTGCACCCGTCTGAATGATCCTTAGTCACTGGAACAATTAGGCATACTGGGAAAATCTGAAGTCCTGATCTGCATCTGGGCTAGTGACTCAGTATTAACCCATTAGGCCACGAAAGTCTGGACTCATTCTGCATGCTTATTTTTACTCACCAAGTAGAGCAGCATGGATACCGATGACAGCCTTGGACCCCTTTGGTCACTTTTAAAACAAGCAGCCAGGGCAGCTCCCAGATTTTTGTGCTGACAGTTTTACTTTAGTGGCTTCTAGAGAGACGTTGTGGAATAAATGCCCGGGGAGCCTATGGGCCTACAGTGTTTGTCCCGTGTTTCGTCCGTCCTTGGTCATCGATGATACCTGCTATTTCATGATACTGCTGTCTGTTTTATTTGTTAGAGATGACTTTTATTGCAAGCTTTTCACATATGGTTTGAGTTTCTGACAATTGCTGTCATTTGATCTTTCTAACTTGTGATAAATATATATTTTTTTCTTCACAGGTAGGGAATTACCTGCGCATGTTTAGAGGCTCGCTGTACAAAAGGTATCCTTCTCTCTGGAGACGCTTGGCCACCGTTGAAGAAAGGAAGAAAATTGTAGCCTCCTCACATGGGAAGAAATGTAAATGCTGGTTTACGGTTTTTGTTTTTAATACTTGCTCACACAATCAAATGGACTTCCACTGTCTGTCTATATAATAAGGGAATCCAAATTCACCCCCAGAAACATCTTAATTGTTGACATTTTTCCTTCAATATCCCAAATTCCTTTGTCCTCAACTACCAGTCATGTGTCCAGTGCTAGGCCTTGGTCTTGAGGTCTGTGCCCAAGGATCTTGAGACAATGACGTTCAGGCAGCATCGGACAGTTCGCATCTCTGCTTCTACACAGTTCCTCTTTTAGCATAGAAGACTGTGAGTGAGGACAAAGATAGGTGTTTTAGATGTCTGTGCTGCTTTTTGGGTAACTTTTATGATTAGCGGAAAATATGGGTTGTCTTTGAGAGATTGTTGAAACATAATTTTAGTAATCATTTTAGGAAAGCTGCATCATTGTCACATCAGATCTGGCAACTTGGAATATTGGTGACAGAGATAGCGTTCAAAAGTCATATTGAACCAGTATCGGGTATATTTGTTTCCAAATAGTGAGGTTCCTGATGTATGGGTAACCGAAATATGTCTCCAAAGATAGCTCACCTTACCTAGCTACGTTAGTGTGGTTATACATGTGCTGTTTCCCTGGTTGGCACACCACTATCAAAGATGTTCCACATATAAAGCACAGCATAGGATGCACCCCACTGGCTGTAAAACACATTTGTATTGTATAGCCATAACACTGGAAGTTCTAGGTGACAAAACCCTTCCTTATATAAAACTTGAAAAGATTGCAGTGTAAACTTTTAAACGCATGGCAGTTCATGACCTGGAAATGATCACCTCCCTTAAGTCCATTATTAACCCTTGCTACTCTTTGGGAATTGCACACGCTCTGTGCCTACCCAAGGGACATGATGGTTAAAAGCGCACAGGTAATCTCTATCAGTCCTGCTGAATTTTAGTCCTAACAGACAATCACCTGACATTTACATGCCTTTTGGAGCTGCACCATCCATCCTCCTATTCCCATTTCATTGTTTCCCTGGCACCTTTTTGGAGTTGTACATCAAACACTTGCTTTACCCTTGTATGTGCTTTGGAGGTATCGTTAACGAAAGGTCAACAGCCCCTGTATTTACATACAGAGATGGGATTGAGTAGATATAGGTGTAGTTGCTGATGTGTGTAGCTTCAGAATCTGTTGTAAGGTTTTCCAAAACAAGAGTTTTTACCCCTAACACTCGGCTCTAGGTTTCCTAGATGTTTCCATATTCAATTTTGTTCCACTTTGTTGACGAATCACCAGGTTTTTTTATGACAAGGATTTATGGTCCTAATTTAATGTAGATTGCTAAATTATGGGTAGTCCCCCTGTGGATACCTAGTTTTACACCTCTCCCCCTAATTGCATAATTCAAAAAGAGACAAAAAGTTGTAAGGGTTTCTGGAGGGGTGTAAATGACCGTCCAAGAGAAATATATAAAGAAATATACAATTTATTGTTAATGCATACTTGATTGGTTACATGATTCGATTACACTTATTAAAAATCAATCCCTGCAGAGGATACATCAATTCATTGATTCTTTAACAACTCTAAAAATCATTTGATCCAAATTTCCAGATGTAATTTCATAATTTTCCAAAGCATAGCTTAACTTAATAGGCCCCGACGCGTTTCGCCAAAGGCTTCATCGGGACCATTCAGGATGAATCTATTGATAAGAGAATTTTTCTTCATTGATATGTACATCATACCCGACATTCATTATTGCATACATTAGATGTATTTATTTTGTATACTCGTATTCCTAAATGAGACCCCAACTGGGTCAATTATTAGATTTTTAGAGTTGTTAAAGAATCAATGAATTGATGTATCCTCTGCAGGGATTGATTTTTAATAAGTGTAATCGAATCATGTAACCAATCAAGTATGCATTAACAATAAATTGTATATTTCTTTATATATTTCTATTGGACGGTCATTTACACCCCTCCAGAAACCCTTACAACTTTTTGTCTCTTTCCTAATTTAATGTAGCCTGGATGTGATAGTGTTAAATCACAGATTACAACCAAAACATATCGTGGATATACAAATGTTGTTTGCATGCTCACAACTTAAATACACAAGTCATATTTTTGGGGGGCAGACGGGCTTAATTTGGTCACTGAACATTCAGTGGTTCTCCCTTATTGTGTTGAGTTCACTAATGAGGAATGTCCTTTTATTTCACCTCGGAGCTATGATTGTTTACCTTCAGTTATAATACACACTGCTGTGGTGCAAGATGCACCAATCACCTATGTGTTTTGGTGCAGTGCACTTTTAAAAATTCCTGTTTGCTGGTGTTTTAGCTGAAGAATTTCCCATGGGAAATGACACCTGAGAAATGCAGGGCTTTAAATGAACTCATGAGAAATGTAACCAGCAGTTCTTTTATGTGCTACCATGCTGTAAAGCATTCATGCTGTCCTTTTGCATCCATTCCTGTACCTTTAGCGCCTTGAGGAGGGCGCATGGCCTACAATGATACCGTGTATATCACTGTAGCAAATTGGCCAGCACACCAGGAACTAAAGTCCTCCAATCTTTACTGAGGTCTTAGTTGGAAAATGGCATTATAGAGTTGGAAAAAACAAAGACACAAATCTGACATTTAAGAGACACTGTGGTTTGGAAGGAGCTGTATAACCTGCCAGGGCTATTTAAAATTTTTAAAAAAACGTACAGGAATATAATGTAGTTCCCATAACACTGAAGTGGCAGCTCCTCAACCAGACTGATGATTTCCTCCCTTGTCCTGATTTAGATCATGGATACACAACATTAGCTACTAGCGTTACCCTACTGAAAGCTTCAGAAGTTGAAGAGATCCTAGATGGGAACGATGAGAAATATAAAGCTGTTTCCATTAGCACAGAACCTCCAACCTACCTCAGGTAAGTGGCAGTATATTTATACCTATAGCCAATTCCATGTGAAACTCCCTAGCACTGTAAATGGCAATGTGAACATCTGTTGGGGTGAAGCTGGCCATAGACCATACAGGCACAGCTCAGCCATTCCATTGTTTTCTGGCCTAGCTACAAGCATAAACGTAATGGCATTTTAGGCTATGAAGGGGGTAAGGGTGACATGTTTCAGACAGTGTTGGTACCATTTATCATAAAGGAAATTATAGCTATTGAAAATTGGCTTCTAAATGGCCCAATTGCTTTCTCACCTCTGATTTTGTTGATTGCAGTGGTTCATAGTTGCCACAAAGACTTGAGAAAAACTTCTCATCTAATTGTATGACTGGATTGTCAGATTGTAATCTCATGTCTATGGGTGCCTTCAAAGATGATGGGTAATGAATGCAAGACAAAGGCTTAGTGTTCTGCCTGCCTAAATATGCAATTCATTTTGAACATGGCTTCTAATGACTGAAGTAAAGTTATAAGGATGAGGCATATCTGCCCAGTAGGGCTGCAACTAACGATTTTTTTTATAATCGATTAGTTGGTTATTTTTTTTCAATTAATTGGATAAAAATGAAATACCACCCCTAATTTAAAATAAAATACACAAATGGAGTGTTACAAACATAAACTTTACTTCAGAATAAAACTGCATGCACATTTTTTTGCAATTGCACCACACTGGAACTGCATTTCCAACAGCATTGCGGTACTGCACATTCCAGTGCAGGTGGGTGGCACGTTTGGGGTGCCATTGAAATGAAAGGCACCTGCAGCACCAAAATTTGTCGGGGCGAAACCTGAAATTACTTTTTTCCCCACTAACATAAATATTATTATATTATAAATATTTTTATTTTTTAGTCGAACTCGCATAGCATATATTCTGATGTATTTTCCCCACCCAGAAGCCAAAGGTGCTGCAAACAGCCTCCCATAAAAATCATAGACTGCATGCAGGTTTGCGCTGGTAATTGTGTAAAGCTGGGTTTGCTTATGGACAAAGACAGCCTGCGTCCAGGTGGTGTGTCCGTACGCATAAATGGCTGTGTGCATGTACTGGCATATTGCCATGTACAGCCATAGACTTCTCTGCAAGGCTGTACGCAGCACCTAATAGCAGTTTGCACTGTCCAGGTTAGCCGCCCATTGTAAATGAGCCCTAAATGTTGCAAATTTAATATTTTGCATCATTTTAAGCCAGCAAGTGAAGCTTTAGGGTATTTTTCACATTTGCAGGCTCTCTGTTTGCTTCTTTTATGTAAAGCATATTGTATACCGAGCTAAAGAAAGTGCAAATATCCCAATTTTTTGGCCTGTTCAAAAATGCTGCAAGTACAGAAAAATGCCTGTTGATCTGACAGAAATCCAGTAAGTTCCTAACTTCCTGTAGTGAGCTGATAGATCTGCTTTACTGAAATCTCAAGCAATGTTATCAGCCCTGTCCTGAGTTCTCTGTTACTGGACTAGATAATAGGAGTTGGGAACTTAGTTCCTAAAGTATCTAAAATGCTTCACTTTGTACCTATTATTGTTACTATTATTATATTTTATTTTATTTTTTTGTTAACCTTTTTTCTGCTCATTCAGTGGGAATTCGTCTGCTTGACTCAATTTACTGCAATTTACTGCTTGACTCAATTTACTGCATTGTAACAATTCGTTCCTGAGTGTTACATTGCTTTGCTCTCTGATTTTAATGACCAGTACACTATAAGTGAACTTCTACTGCTGCCCCCAGACATCACTCTCCTTTAACCTTCCCCTTTATTTAATATAATATTCTTATCTGATATACTGCTCCATGTAGATCTTCCTTCTGTGGCCTGCTCCATGACTTTAAGCCTCTCTTCAGCATCCTCCCAGTTGTGGACTGAGCCCTCTGCACATGTGTATCTGAGCTGCTGCATGCGCAGGGAATGAGATACAGGACTGGGAAGGTTTTAAAAAGATACTGTGATTTCAGCCCACACAATGAAGATGAATGGAGAGCTCCTATTTTTGTATATTACAAAAATTCTTAAAAAGGACACTTAGGAAAGATAAGTGCACTAAAAGGTTGAGAGCAGCCCTGGGCATGGACCATGCATGAAACCCTGTATGAAGAGGGCCTTCCTCTGTGTTTGTTTTGCTTTGCTGATTAGATGTGACTCTGCTAATGTCCTTTTGCTGACATTTTGATTTAGAATTCACTGGTGTTTTTTTTACTCCTGTACAGTTTTGATGACCATGATCCAGCTGTGATTCATGAAAATGCTTCTCAGCCAGAAGTACTAGTTCCAATCCGGTTGGACATGGAGATAGATGGACAGAAGTTGCGCGATGCCTTCACATGGAACATGAACGGTACATATGACCTGGAGTTTCTTAAATTAGCATATATTGTGATATATTTTTATTTTATTTTTTGAAAGAAAATGTAAGTAATACGTCATGCTATGTTTATCATTGGATCCAAAGTTTATTGTCCTGTAAAGAAACTAAAGGTAATCTGATAGATTCCCTAATCATCAACAGAACTGGTCAGATTTGTGTTTGTACAAAACACACACATGGCCAACTCCTATTTAGCACCACTGAGCCTGTAGATACCTGATCACACTACTTTTCTTACTCAGAGATACCCAACATTACATTGTATAAGATCACACAATGATGAGATACAGATAGTCTGTACTTTGATTTACCTGGTAATTGCCAAGTATATGAAAACACTCAGAGGAGTGCAGTGTTAACTTTTATGGGCAAAAATATTGTTTCACTTGTTGGGGTTTAGAATGTTTTCAAAGTGCGTTTTCAATACAGCAATGCGTTTCTGAGGAACATGTATTGCTGCACCTTTTTTAAAGTACACCAAGTTCTGCAGGAAAAAGTTCATGAGTAGTGTGGGGCCATGCTTTAAAAAAAATGCTATAGCCTCCCATTTAAATAAAACAAATAAAGCAAAAAAACGCTCCATCGTCTAATTGTAGGTACATCTGCACTTAGTTTTCGAAGTCCCCCTGCAAAATCTCACAAATACCTGTTGATCCTGCTAGTGAAGTCCACCTCATGAAACTTTCTGTGATGCGGTTACAATGTCACTGCATCGCTCAAAATAGTGTTGTCAGGCCTATGTAGAGTGTGCCTGCTTTCACTGCTGTGGGATGAGATGACAGAGCATGGCAATCAGCGCCTGGCCACACCTAGCACTGCCCACTGCTTTCCGGATTGACAGCACTGCTGCTGAAACCCTCCCACTGTGAGCTGCAGTGTCTAGGAGTGGAAGCATGTGAGGCTTGTGCATCACATAGTAACTACATTTGGGACTTATTTAGACTGTCGCGCAGACTCCTTTTGCATGTACTTTAATCCACCTCTCCACCAACACTGAGGTGGAGACGGTACTTACCAGTTATTGCTGTTTACATAGCTCTCTGGGTTTATATTCTGATATCTTTGTTGTGTGAGATAATACAATGTAACACATTCATGGATGAGCTGCAGGCAAGCGGATGGAAGTGAGCTGCTTTGAGATTAGTTACTTGCTGCTTCATCATCATTCAATGTAATGCAATCTAGAGATTACACTGCACATTTTCTGCTTCTCCCTTGTGAAATTATACTGACACTTATTTTACATGAAAATATAAAAATAAAACAAAGTCACAAAATGTAAACATTTTGATGGTCATATCACCATTTTTATTGGAACTAAGAAAACGCAACAAAAAAAAAACAAAACAAAAAAAATAAAGATCCTCTATAGCAGCAAAGAAGGAGCACAATGGTATAAAGTGGCAGATTCAGTTGTGTTTTATTAAACAAACATATAAAAACATTATAAATCACACTCGTAAGGAAGAGTCATTGGCGCTTCATGGGTACAGTAAAAGGGAGCAGAGTCACTGGAGCTGAATAAGAAAAGTTGAAGGAAGCAGAGTCATTGGGGATGAGTGGGGAAAGTAAAAGGGGGGGGGGGGGGAAATCATTAGAGGTGTGTGGGAACTGTAAGGGCCTTTTCCAACCGGGTCTGTGCGTTAATCACATGGTTCCATGTGATTAACACACCGTGCGTTGCATGGCACTGTTCGTTAATCACGTCACTGAAAATGAATAGGAAAAGTTGAAGTGGGCAGAGTCACTGGAGGAGGACAGTAAAAGGAAACAGTCACCGGATCTGGGTGAGGACAGTAAAAGAGAGTATAGTTACTGGAGATTGGTGGGAACAGTAAAAAGGGACAGAGGCACCAGAGCTGGGTAGGAACAGTAAAAGAACAGTGCTTACTGGAGGAAGGGTGCGTCGGGACAGTAAAAGGGAGCAGTGTCACTGGAGGTGCATGGTGACATTTAAAGGAGAGAAAAGTGCCCATTCCCATTGAACCTAATGCTTTCTTGACTCTGCAGGTTGTTAGAGAACTCAGATTAAGGTAAATTAAGGGAACTTTCTTATATAAGCATTACGAAATAATTGCTAGCATTGGTAGTTCATTGAGTGGTTTTAATGGTTGATAAACAAATCGATACATAGTAGGTAAGGTTGAATAAAGACACAGGTCCATCAAGTTCTGTGTGTGTGTCAAAGTCCAATAATGCTTCTTTCTAATTTATTGCGCATATGCTTTCTGTTTGTTTCTAACAGAGAAGTTAATGACTCCAGAAATGTTTGCAGAGATCCTCTGTGATGATTTAGACCTCAACCCCCTTGCTTTTGTCCCAGCTATTGCTTCAGCGATCCGTCAGCAGATCGAATCTTACCCCACTGACAGCATACTGGAGGATCAGTCCGATCAGAGAGTCATTATTAAGGTACCCATGATTAAGGAAATCTCTCCTGTTTTTTCCAAGCATTATAACGTTTTTATCTTTTATATTCATTCCTAGCTGGCTCCAATGCATGCCCTTGCAGTGTGTTGTATGGACCTCATTTAGAGCGACTGTAAGCATGCAGTATTTGTCTTCCTTGATAAGGTGACAGTTTGGTTGTTCAGTGTGTAAGTGAGCTGATGCCTGCATGCCATTTTTGCATGGCACTTGCAGATGCTGCTCTTAGTAAGTAAGGCTGCCTGTGAGTGATCAATCAGCTCTGTCTCTGAGATACTTAATGCTGGTGAATGGAAGATAGCGGCCTCACTTTTTGGCTCGTGGTTTTGTCCTTGTGTTCTTTCATAGCTGAATATCCACGTTGGGAACATTTCTTTGGTGGACCAGTTTGAGTGGGACATGTCAGAGAAGGAGAATTCACCAGAGAAGTTTGCACTGAAATTATGTTCTGAGCTTGGTTTGGGCGGGGAGTTTGTCACCACTATCGCATACAGCATCCGAGGGCAGCTCAGCTGGCACCAGAAGACATACGCATTCAGGTAGGATGACCTGTTACTTTAAAATTCACATCAGGGTGATTTGTAGACAGTTGGCGGAGTGTTGTGTCCACCACCATCACTGATGGCTGTGTCACAGTATTGCTTATAAATTCTTCCATGTGTGCATTACTGTGAATTTTAGTACTTGGAGGTTTTTCTTTGTCTAAAACAAGACTGGACACTGGGGTTTAAAAGGGTTTTCCTAAAAATTGCTAACTGACAACAATCCCATCCCTGGGAGCTTCAAATTCAAACTTCACTTGTAGGTATAATTTGCTCAACTATTCAGATGTAATGGATCTGTGTAATCATTAATATCTGAATATGTTGATTTTAGTCAGCCAAATAGACATTAAATAGGGGTATAAGAATTCCTTTATTAGCTATGATGCTTATACCTTCAGCTATATTACTATATTATATACAAAGGGGACAGAATTGGCTATAACATTTTACTTAGCTGGAAATCGCCTTAAATCCTCCCTTGAAAAGGGTGCTGGTGAGAATGATTTATGGATTATTATTGTTCTGTAGAATTGGATACCAAAGGGCACATTGGCCCTTTTTGATTTGATATTAAGGGTCCCTTCACACATTATTACTGTGTTGGGTTGCATTACCCCACACATGTTGACATTTGTTGCAGTAAGGGAGTCCACTCATTTTGCATGTAATGCCAACGCACACCAAAATGCAGGTTTTAACAGACCTGCAGCTGTTTTATTTATTTAAACGCTGCACACCACAAAGCACAAGTAATTGAAATCTGCGGGTTATCTTACTCTGAAGAGTGTGCACTGTGGTTTGCTGGCAGGTTTTGTTGGGATGCTGTTTAAAAAGAATGGCACTTTACTGTGCGTTCATTTAATAGAGCTACAGAGAATTCAACCTAAAGCCCATTTTTTTTATTTTTTTGCCATTCTCGGTGAAGTGGGTCTTTTTTTTTTTATTTCCTGGTAAAATGTTAACAGGTCTCCGAGAATCGTGGTGAGGAAGCATACTGAAGTAAGACCCTCCATGTATTCCTAAGAATAAGCTATTAGATCGCAGGTAACCACATATATTCTCATGTGGATGAGCTGGCATCTCTGAAATGCCACCCCTATATATTCCAAAAACTTGGGCTGTTAGTGAGATTTGAAGGCATTGGACATAGAAATGTACGTCGTACGTTAGGGGAGAATGTATGGAGAACTTGCTTCAGTAGCCGACATAATAGTTCTAAGCAAGTCTCTCTTCTATGATCCAAGAGAGCTAAGGCCTGGTGGGGAACAGAGCCCTTATCTGCTCCACCCAAAACAATCAGTTTTGAGTGGAATTTCTTGGGAAAATACAGAAACTAATTTTATTAATGGTATAAAAAGTCCATGCATGTTGTAAATATCAGCTGCAGTCTCAAAATGCTGATATTTTGTAACACAACAGAGATTGAACCCTAATAATGATCTGTACACGTTATGACAACAGCAGTAAAGTTGTTTCCTTGGGCAGAGGCAGAAAGTAAGAATTTTTCTTTATAGCTGCCTCCTGCTTTATGTAAATAACTCCTCAGAGGAGACTTATTTATTACATTTCGTTAAGCAAGTTGTTTTTTTTTTTTACTGTGCAACTGGAATGCAAATGTCTTGTTTTTCTACAATCTGCACGACATAAGGCCTTGCTGGGTACATTCCAATAAGTTTGTTAAACTGTATTTCTATGCAGAAGAAAATGTGTTTATTTTTTTTAATACGGCACATGAAAGCAAAAGGAACAGATCTAATTTAGAGTTATTTTTGTTCTTTCATCTGTTCTACTTTTTATATAAATGAAACTGTGGTTTTAACAGGAACAAACACTTAAGTGCTGTGATATTTATATACTGTTACTATTTAGTTTCAACCAAATCGTGCGGCCAGAACAGAGATTCTAAAAGGCCAAAGGCATATGTCCTGAATCTTAGTAAATTTCTCTCCAATATACTGTACTTGCAGCTTATTTTTCAAAGAGGGTTATAATTACATTTGCCAGTGATCCATTTGGTTTACACTGGGGGTTCATATGACATGTAACCCATGGCTTCCCAGTTTACTTGCAGCAGAGCTGAAGTCATAGAGCAACCATTGGTCCCTGTTCCATGCTGTGGGACCTGATTCAAGAATCTTCACTTTAAGAGGGAGGAAATACTGTTATTGGCCATGTAGTTGGAAATGCCTCCTTAAAAGGCATGATCCCAGGTTGTCCTCAGACGTATGAAATGTTTGCCCCCACCTGGCTGCATAAAATCTTTGCCCTCAAGATCTGGCTGTGTGCGACACTGCAGGCATATTCATTTTGTCTACCCCACTGGGTGAGCAGCAGGGAATCACAGGAAGTCTTGATAGTGGGCAATGATGACACCTGGAAGCCACGTGCTCTGGATGTGTTTCCACATCAGTTCTTGTGTGTATGAACTCTAAATCATTTTTAACGAGCTGGTGACTGAAGGGAAACGGAATACCCAACATAAGTAGCTTATCACATGTGTAAGTGAGAACTGCAAATGTGTGTTTATAGTCAGGAACATCTGCCCTAAAGATTGTGAACTTTGAAGAAGTTCCTTATCCTCCCAGCTGCCCCATTACTTTTAAAAGAAATGTGTAATCTGCCATTTCCAGTTGATAGTTATTTGGACAGCTCTCTGGGATGCAAGTCACTCACCTGGAACAAGTATGCTGTCAGTGTAGCGTTAAGTATAAAATCCAATTGAGCCTCTAATTGTACAAAAGAGACCTATGGTGCCACCATTCCAAATTATCTTTACTTTGTGTCTACTATATTCCTCCAAAGATCATACCAGCTTTCTAAAATGTGGTATTTGCACTTGATATTACATAACAACCATGTGACAGAGCTTGAGCCTAGCAATTGGACGCTTAGGCACCTATTGTTGTATTGTGAAGCTGTAAGCACATTTGATGGGACTGAAACAGTGCATGAAGGAGACAGACGAGCTGATTCCGTTATACCTCCTTAATCGATGTTTTTTGCATTTCAGTGAAAACCCCTTGCCAACTGTGGAGATTGCCATCCGAAATACAGGTGATGCAGATCAATGGTGCCCTCTTCTGGAGACCCTTACAGATGCTGAAATGGAAAAGAAGATCCGTGACCAGGACAGAAACACCAGGTGCCACCGTCGTTTCATACGCTTTTCCTTCCGGGCTTCTCGTCGGGGTAGAATATAGACAACAAGGTGGCCCTTCCTCGGAGCGTCCACGAGGAAGACATTTCAGCTTTTGCGCACCAGCCTATGAAGTGATGTCTTTTTTCCGTGTCTGTGCTGTCGTGCTTCAGCCTATGGAGCTGCTCTTTTAATCTTTAACACACTTTGCAAGTGACGTGTTTGGTATATCGTTTGACTTAAGCTGGTGGGATTGGACATTTCTCCCAGTGCTCGCCATTAGCTTAGTAGCACCGTCTATGCTGAAATTCCCTGGTAGCTCTTACTTGGCCCCGGCGCCTTTTACGCACTTAAAATTACCAAATTCTAACGAATTCCATTGTCTCACATTGAGATAGTCTGACACCCTCTTGCCTCCCTTAATCTGGTGGTGGGACCTGCAGTATATTCCATATTGCTGGTTTCTGTAGAGTAGCCCCTGTAACAGAAGTATGCCAACTACAGAATCCTTTTATGTCCTTTAGTGTAATGTATTCCTGCTAGCGTTCGTATTCTTTATATTGTAGGCAATACTTAAAAACTGGTGCCAAAAAATTTGCTTGTGAAATGTTATAGATAGCTTTGCTGCTTTCAAGTGCTAAATGTAATCATTTAACTTCTGCTAGTCCCTGTAGAGCATAATTCTACTGGTGCATGCCGCAGTTAAATGCAACGTGAATTTCCACCGATTATAGTGCAGGTGGTGGCTTTATGAAGTATGTGCAGTATTAAGACTTGTAACCATTTGAATTGCTTTTCCTTTTAAGTATATGACAGTGGTAGTAACAGTGTTTAACGTTTTCTTGGATGGTAAGGAAATGGTTTTTGTTTTCAGAAAGGTTGGCCCATGCTGGTTGTGGAGCCCCTAAAGGGCCTTATTGTCCCAGATGAGTATACAGATCAGTGGTTTGGAAGTGGGGGCAATCTATAACCGCAGTATATATAATCAGCGCTATTTGAATCCTCCATCGGATCACTGGATACGATAGGAGAACAAATGCTGTGCAATGTACAGTACTGAACCCTCTGACAGTTAAAAGGCTTTGAGATGCTAAAGGTCTTAGTGATGTTGGCATTGGAGTAGTAAGCTGGAATCACATGATCAGCTGGGTTGAATTGTGGTACTGTTGATGATCTCCCTTTGACCATTACTGTACCCTGAGACTTGTGAGGTTGCCGTTTTATTTTGTGTTTGATGTTTATTGGTACTTATGGGCATTCGGAGCTGCCGAATTAACAGTAGTAAGAATGTCTCTGCCCTTGTTGAATGAAAAAATGTGAAATATAAGCTTAGGCACTTATGTCTCTTTACAACATATCTATATATTGACCTAAATGTTCTTTGTATGCAACATGTCTTTATTTTAATGGTTTTTGCAGTGTGCCTTTTCTAGAAAAGTTGACGTGTATGTGGTCTGGTTTGGTGCTTCTAGTATTGACCAGTTGTGTCAGTGTCTGGTTCTTGCATAGCACAAGTTGCCTAGTAGCTGTCGTTTTTTTTTTTCTTTTCTTTTAAATGATGCCAAATTAAGGCCATGAATGTATTAACACATTTGTTGTGTCATAACCTACAAATACCAAACCTCAGAGTAGCTTCCTCTTGTTTAACTTCCCAACAGATTAAATCATCTTCCATATTTTTCTGTTTAGGGTTCCCATTGTGCTTTTCCCACCATTTTTTCAGGAATATACCATGGAAAGGTTTGATTTCCACCCCCCCCC